AAGCTATAACTGACAAAGAGAAAACTCAAGTGACAAAAAGCTATTTTTATCAAAAGACAATTTGAGTCAAGAATGTCAATCTTAATGTCTCAACATTGTGCTAGATATCAAAATACTCAAGCTAAAGACATATACTTGCACTGAAGATGTGTCTCTTTGAAAAGTTGATCTTAACAGTTTTGTTTACTTTCTCAAAGGTCAAAATTAACATGGGTTAACCAAGCAGGGGTTAAAAACCAGGGAAGGTGATAATTGCCTTATTCATCATACCTTTCTTAGAACTTAAACTAAGATGATTGGTATTTTGGCACCGACTGTTCCAAACACTTGACTGCAGTAAAAGTATAATGGAATAGAAGCATGAGCAAGAAAATTTAGGCTAATATCCATTACATGTCAGTGTTTCCTTTCCACGGATCCATTTTGATGTGAAATGTATGGACATGTGAGCCTATAAGTGATGCTTAACTCTGAGAAGAACTTGGTGAAGGGCAAAAAATTTCTCCCCTATAATCACATTAAATAACTTTGATAGTGGAATGAAATTGAACCTTAACAAATTTTATGAAGAGCTTGAAAGCTTGTCTGACTTATGACTTGTTCTTTAAGAAATAGATCCAAGTATATCTAGCATGGGCATCCACAAAGGCAATGTAGTATGAAACGATAGAGCTGGATGTATGAAATAGGTACATTGTATGTATTCAATGAAATATGAGAATGCAATCAATGTGAGTTACCTAAACAACATGATTTACACTTTATTTGGAATATGAATTTTACAATGCTTAAGAGAAATTTTTACAATTGATAAATGAGAATCCCCTAGTCTGTAATGCCATCAGAAATAATTATTCAGTTTAGGTACATAAAAAACAATAACACAAGAGATAGAATTGACAGTAGTATGATAGGAGAGTAAAGTAGATTGTCGATGTGAAGATAGACTTGAAGGATTCAGGAGTTGTCGTGGAAAGCAATACAATGCATTTATGTTTTAATATTCCTTAAAATCTTTGTTGATAAAGAAAAATAAAATATATTTTTGGAGATTGCATATACCGCGAAAATTAGAAGTTTCAGAATATCGGTCAAAAAGTCAAAAAAAACAGAAATCGGGTAAAATCATACAGTGTACGGATAGTGAATAGTGACCGTACGGACGATGAATAGTGACTGTACATATGGTGAATAGTAATTGTACATATGGTGAATAGTGACCGTATGGACGATAAATAATGATTTTGGGTTTTTTGGACTTTTTCGGTAATTTCTCGTTTTGTGTGTTTATTGTTTGTAGGTGTGACAATCTTAGAGCTTACAGCAAAAAGGGAGAGCAAAGGTTTAAAGACATAGCATAAGGTTTTGGCTATTCTCAAGTGAAACCTTAGAAAGGAAAGAGTTTTGGAAACCTTTTGGAGTTATCTAAGGGAATTTGGGAATTGAGAAACACTTGTTTACACATTGGGTTTGGGTTATTCATATATTGGAGGTTGAAGAGGTTGAGAAACACTTGGGTAGAAAATATGGTTAACTTTTTGGGAGTCTTCATGGTTGTTCTTGGGAACCTGAAGGCAAAGACTATTTTCTTGTAACTAATCTCTTGTTACAACTTTCTGAGTATAGTGAATTGAAGAGTTGCTCTCTCTCCTAGAATAGATTATTTGATCAAACTGGGTAAACAAACCTTCGTCTTTTTCCTCGCCTTATTCTATTATATTATATGTGTATGGATTATTATTGTTTTAAATCATTTATGTTGATTGCTACTATTCATTGCTCACAAATTGATATTGAATTTTGTCGTAATTTACAACAAGATTCACAATATATTGTTATCTTTAAGTGATGTTGAATATGTTTTGGGAAATTTAAGTTCAATCAAATGACCATGAAGGCACATTATTTCAGAATAAACATCACATATGCCGTAACACTCAAATTTAGATATCCTCATTTGCTTTTTACTTTTCCACAAATCTAATGAAGAGTCAAAAAGCATGTACCAACAAATGGCAAACCATCAATGTCGAAATACCCTATATAATCGGCATCACTATAAGTTATAAATTTGTGAGTTATTCCAATGAAATATAATAGACAATGGAGAAAATTTACTTTCAAGTAGAAAGTTATTTAATGAATCGCGACAAAGTGAGGATATTAGAAAAAATACACGAGTTGACTTACTTGCTGACCAAAAAAGATATATCAGGACGAGTAATAGTCTAGTAGTTAAGATTTCCCTCAAGCTACCACTATATTAAGGGATCAGAAAAAATAGCACCATCATCACAATGATATTTAACATTAACCTTAAGATCAATATCCCTTGGATTATCATATTAGAGACCATTCATAGATATCAAATATATGACTTTGATGAAGGAAGACGCCCTTGAACGTAGAATGGACCTCATCAGACATGTAACTATTTTTTAAGTCATTAAATGGAAGAATGACATAACCATTAATAACCACATCATCAACATTTAGAATAAGAAGAAAAACATGTTAGAAATTTTTTATTCAGGATCTTGATATTATGATTTTTAGAGTGCTTTAATTTCTATGAAAAATGATAAAAACGTAGTCGGATCCATGCTGACGATTCTTGTTCTATTCTTGATTTCTTGATTCGAATTCTTCTCTCATATCTTCGTTTTTCTTTTGTGTATATCTTTGATGATGAAGATAATATTTTATTTTATTTGTGAGAAATCAGAAAGAATTAAAAAGCTAGTGTTGCTTTCATACAATTTCTATTTTGTGGATCTGGATCCTCTCCAGCATATTTGCTTCTACTGCTCATTCAGCTCTCATTGCAGCCAATCATTTTCATTTTCCTCTCCTTATAAAACAAAGTTTTTTGATTTATTTATGTTGTATTAATTATGAACTATTAGATGATGGACATGAGAGATGGCAACACGGAAACAACAACAGGGGATATATTTCCCTATTTTATAGATATCTTATTCCATTCCCAACACTCATATTCATATTCTCAACAATCATATCTCAATAGTCATGAAGAGAGAGAAGAGAAATTTAAATTTTATTTTGAATTTGAAAATAAAAATCCCTTTGACTTGATTACCAAATTAAACCCAATCAATCATCATATTTAGGTATTTTTCATTAAAAAATCAAATTTTATTTAGATGAGTCACATTTGATGGATTAATAAATTAATCCAACAATCTTTTCCTTAAATTATGTGACAACTTGATGTTTCAATCTTATACCATGTGCATCTTTTATTAAAAGCACCAAATCATTTATCTTTAATGAACTAAAATGATTGAATCACAACGGTCACAAATCAATCTAATTCAAATAACTTTAAGGAATACAATAATGTGTCTTTCATGTCCCTTCAATGACACATTTGTCATCTCATATTAACAATAACATATACAATATGATATGAATAATAAAACTCGACAGAAACATAACCTTAATTAAATTTATTAGTGTCATACAATACGAACATTAAACTACACGCACACAGAAACATAGACACACAGACACAAACACAGACACACACACGCACACACAAACACATCGATTATATTATAATTTAACAAGGACTTTTACATAGTGCTCATTATTTCTACATGACCAAAAAATATCTTGGGCGGTAAACATTTAGTTAATGAATATGTTATCATTAAATTTGTACCAATGTTTTCAAATGACATCTTTTGTTTTTGTACTTCTTCTTTCACTAGTAAGTACTCAATTTGCTCCCACCGACCTTCATATATATATATATATATATATATATATATATATATATATATATATATATATACACCGACCTACGATGTTCTCTATAAAACTGTATGACAAAATGATATTGTTCAGCTAGAATTTGAAAATGTATTTCTAGATGTAATGTAACTTTGTTTAGCTTAAAAATCAGATTAATGTGAGTAATGAGAAATGAAATACATGAACTTTATCTTAATTACACATTATTTTTTCTTCTTTTGTGTAATGACACACAAGAAAGAAGTTTTGGAGTGTAAAACTTGATTAAGAATGGAATGGTGTTTTTTAAGGATTTTGAGAGAAAGATGGTCTTTGATCATGATGAAGAAGAGCTTACAGGGTGTTGTTTTATTAAATTTCTTTCTTGACGTTTTCGAAAATGAACTTCTGAAATTGTGACTAACATGCATGTGGCATTTTATCAAATTTCTGCTTCACAAATCCAAAAGTATACATTCGAATTTGTCATTGAGTTGTAAAATCAGAAAAATCTTTGATGGCGGTGTGTTCAAAGATACATTTATAAATTAAGTTTTGAAAAAAAAAAGATGAATCTTAGTTAAGACAATTTTTGGTGTGAAAATGATGCGTCCCAAAATACATTTTCGAATCAAAAGTTTTTTTAAAATTTTTGTAGGATGCATTTCCATCAAAAAGCAATTCCTTTTCTCTTATCTCTTGAATTGAAATCACAATATTTAATGAGAAAACCATTAAAAGTGTTTTAGCAATTTGTATTTGCAAAGTCTAGCTCAACGGACTGTACCAATACCGAACATTTTTATCTAAATTTAAATCCAAAACCTAACGGTTATGTATGTAAATTTCAATGATGCTTGTACGTTTATCTCCCGACAAAAAATAAAAATGTGTTTTGTTTAATGTGTGTGGAATATGCACATAAACTCACCCCCTTGAGAACACTAGAGCAGAAAATTATTCCCACAATTTGACAATAGTCCATATAAACTCACGCTATTAGATTATTATCCACAAATCATTCAAAATTATTCTGAGTTAATCAGTAAATGACTAACATACATAAACAAGTGTTGTCTCCAAACATGTTTCATTTGTTGTGTGTATTTTATATATTATACTTTAAATGGTATCAAACTATACTCCCAATTTTGACCATGGAAGATATAGCTGGTGTTACAATACAATCAATCTAATTCCAATTACTTGAATAATTAAGAACTGTTGTGAGTTTTCGGACACACTTATTTGCAGTATTTGTTGAACCACGCCCCAATGTTAAGGATACTTTCCCATTCAGATTGTGGCCTGCACAAATATAAAATAAGCTTAAAAATCATGATTATGATTCTATGTAGGAATGCGGAGGGGTTTATGGTGGACTTGTCTACCTTTTGAGTGCATGAACATCATTTTGAAACATGATGATTTTGACCTCTGCTCCTTTCGCCTTTAAAGTTCGAGCATACTAGACATTCAAACAGCGAAAGTTATACTGTCATAAAATATCAACAAAGAAACCATGCGTCTGAGTGAACTATTCCTATTGCTATAAGTACTTACTTGCAGTCCATCAAAGATTGGTACGCGACGATCTTGTGCACCTAAAAGGAAAAGTGTTGGTGCCTTTACCTGAAGAATACTCGGATTTATTCAGGACGGTTAATGTACAATCATGAAATTCAATTATATGAAATGGGGTCTATGTATAAGACCTTTGAAACGTGCGAGATAGGAGATTTGCTATAGAAGAGAGACAAATCTTCTGCTGAAATTGTTTCCATAAACCGATTTCTTGCAATGGTTCCAAGAGCCTCTACATAGCACCAATCAGGGATATCGGTTGTACCAACCATCAGTGCAAAGTCACAAACAGGATTAATTGCAGCAGCTGCAACAAACTTCTCTGGTGCCTGTAGCAATTAGAAATCCAGACAATAAACTATGATCAACAAATTAAAAAAAATAAACCAATCTCATTTGATAAAATTTCACTTCACTAAAATAGACAGTAACTGGAGTTATTGCACCTGGCCAATCAAATGTGTCGTCAAAAAACCACCATGTGAAATTCCCATCACCGTAATCTTGGATGGACTGGCAAGACCCAAGTTGATCACATGATCTATGGCAGAGAGAACATCATTGACATCCTACACATGAAAAACTAAAATAAAGATACAACTAGAAAATCCAGTATAGTATGCAACTAGCTTATTAAGCATATGTTTGCTTAGATAGCAGCATTATCAAATTTATTCGGATGTAGAAAACAATAAATACTAACCTGATGTCCAACTTTCCCTGGAAGAGATTGTAGTGCTTCCTCGCCAAATCCTAATGAACCTCTGAAAGGTGTAAGAAACCTTAAATAGACATTTAATCTTCCATACTTTGATATCAAAAAGATTTTTTATTCCATTGGTGATCTTGTTATGTTTCTCTTAAGGGTGTTGACAGATACATTGCAGGTGTAGATTCAATGACTCCTCCTGCTCAAGTCATCTATTCTAAGTATCGGTTCAGACTAATGATGGCGCTAAGACTAAAAAATTCAGCACCCTTTCACTTTCAACTCCTCAACCTAATTACCATTATGAAATCAAACTAGACCCTACCTCCTTTAGCCCTCAATTTCTAAATTCCAAATGAAGCGTCTATAGAAAGGTTTTCACATTTGTTTCTTATTACATGATAAGAATGACGATTATCCGACTTCAAGGGTCAGTGTTTAAACTTCATAAAACCTAGTAGCATTTTATTTTAAGCACTGCAGATTTACTCTACAAAGAGTCGTAACATACAGGTTCTAAACAAGCCTTTAACTGTATTTGAAGCTAGTTAAGCAACATAAGCTTATTATAAGCTTAAGTTCATTATACAAGAGTTAAATCAGCAATCTTAACTATATTAAAAGCATGAATAACCTGTAATTTACAATCAGCAAGCTGTATCCAACCGAAGATAGAAACGCCCAAGACTTGGAGAAGTGTGACAAAGAGACGTCTTGTGGCCCTCCATGAAGGATCACAATTAATGGATCACATAAATCCTTGTTCATGGTTTTGGATGACACAAATATAGCTTCAAAAGGTTTAGCAGCACCTGAAATTAAAATAACTAAATACATATTAATTATTCGGTTGACTTGACTGATCCCGAAATTTGATTAAGATTTACGCATAGACATCAATATACAAACATTTGTTGGATTTGTTTTAGACCTTTTATTGGATCATTTGAAGCATCTGTGACTGAGATCTTCAGTATACTGCACTGAAGAGAGGACAACAAAGATCTAACCTGCAACCAAAATCCAGTGAGTCACGTGTAAACATATAATATACTTTTGAAACAACAGTTTTCATTAAAAAGAACCTTGTCAGAGCATTTTAATATGGGACTGGATATCTTTGACCAGTTCCATGTAATATTTCTCTTGGCCTTCTCAATGACCATTCCGTACATAATCTGAGGAACATTGATCGGATTGCTGGAAACTGTGAAAAAATCAACAAGCTACAGGGATAAAACTTACTTCGCCACTTTAGAATACCAAAGTAGAGATAAATTGAGAATTTGTTCGTCTTACTGGCAAGAATATTGTTCCCATTCACTGTAAGAAGATTCCACGAGAAACTTGAGTCTGCTGGGCTGATACGTAATACTTCCCCGCTATTATATGGCCGAAAAAATATGATTACATAGAATACATAAACTATTAGTGAGCGAAGAAAATAAGAGCATTACTACTGTTATATAGTTACCTCAAAACATTCACAGAAAGTAGAACTTCACAGCTGTGCCATATGGATGATATGATCATTGTGCAGTTGTCAGAAAGCCAAGGATTATTATGGATAGTTGTACAATAAAGCCCGGGGAGACAACCATCCTCAGCACACATTACAACAGGAATCTTCAGAATTGATTGGAAAAACCAGAATTATTAACAGACAAAGACACGCACCCTATAAAAAATGCAAGCAATCCAAATCCAATCAAATTAAGCTGGCAACAGATCTTACGATGTCGTAAACTTTAGAGGATTGGCACAGTTTCACATCAGTTGGCCAATCAATCCTATGAAGTGAATTTGTAGCATTGTGCACTCCAGAATCCACAGCACTTTTTGCAGATAAAAATACAAGAAACTCTCCATTTGGACTGGTAGAAAATCCATGAATGATGGTTAGTAGATCAGGGACACCACACATAGACTAATATTTCGCAAGAACTAACTCAGTTTCATAAGCCATTAATTAATATACAATTGGACACAATGACCAAAACACAAGTATCTGATTCCACCAGCTTACCTGAATCGCGGAAAAAGAGCACTACTTATCGTTGGAGTTAGATTCAGTGCATGCAATTCTTGAGTTGAGCTACATGTAAAACATTAGTTTCATAACTCTTTTCAGAAATAACCAAACTTGGCAACAAATTTGTACTTTGTAAAAGTTACGGAAACATATTGAGTTAAGAATTTCTTACTAAAATAACTCACTGGTGCTCTGGTTCCTCGGATTTTGACTCATGATGTGGTGCTCTAACCGCATACAATGAACAAGGCCTGTTAGAGCAGTACTTCATACCAAGCTTTCTTGTCCCAGATGACCACCCAACAAAAACAAGATATTGTTCCAAACCATCTTTAAACGGAGCCCACACAACTTGGCCGACACTCAAAGACTTGTCAATTTCTTTGACAGATTGTACCTCTCCACTGCAAAAATACTAGTTGTCAACCGCAAATCACCAAAAATGACAGTTCGTACAAATTCCTCTATGCTACATTGCTAGCCACTGTTTGGCAACACTTCCTGGCACAATAGCGAGAATTTTTTCCCACAGTGCCACATTTTTGAAACAATAATCCTGCAATGCCACATACTGAAACGTATTTTCAAGAGTGCCACACCTAGGGGTTCACGACATTTCAAATGGCTCGAACGTGGGACCCAGCTGACACAAGATAGCCCTTTCACGCCATTTCAAATTGCGAGAGTCATTCTTGTGTTAGCTGGGTCCCACGTTCGCGCCATTTGAAATGGCGTGAACCCCTGGGTGTGGCACTCTGGGAAATACGTTTCAGTACGTGGCATTGCAGGATTATTGTTTCAAAAATGTGGCACTCTTGGAAAAAATTCCAATAGCGACTAGTTTGAATTTAGCTATGGTATTGCGCTATATAGCCGCTACTTAACAACAATGGACTTACTAATTACAAATATATCTAAATAATATCTGAGTTTAATATGAATGATTCAAAAACCTATTGATGTTGATAACAAAAAGTGTAGGCCGTCTCTTTGCAGAATATGTTTCTCCCCAATCCTCCTGCCAGTCTCCTTGGCCTTTCCAGCTACCAATATCCTTCTCTGCACAACCACCTTTCACATAACCCATATTATTAAATACCGGCTTTGTAGAAGAGGGCTCTTCTGCTACATATGCTATCAATGTTTCATCCAAGTTCCAAGAAACACCTTCAAACCTAAACCACAATAAAGGAAAATGAAGGAATAACTTTACTATTATGCAAGAGTGTTAAATTTCAATCTCATTAGTCAGGACTAACCATCCATCATTATATACGGAACCATGCATGGATTGAGGAATATGAAACTCCTTCTCCAAGCGAGACGAACTCCAAATCTGAAAACAAGAAGTAGCATCTTGTTTATTATCCGGATTCCGAATCAGCAAAAGCTTAGAAGCAGAAGGAGATGGAACAATCATAGAAACATGAATGGATATCTGAATTGGAAAAGGAGTCCATTGAAACTTAACATCGGTTTCTTGTTTAACAAGTTCACAGGAGAGAATTGAAGTTTTGGTTTGGTTTGTTAAGAGATCTGGTTGGGTGAAAGAAAAGATTCCGAGTGAGTTGTTGAAAAGCCATGCTTTGTGGATGGTGGGAATGGTGGTGAAGTGTGGAAGTAAGTTGGAGAGAGAAGCATAGTGTTGTTGTTCTTCCTCATACTGCATTTCTAATCCTGAATTCAGACAATGTAATGTGGAGCTTGACTGAATTTTGAAGAGAAGAAAGAAGATTTCAAGTCTGGGGTATTTGACTTTTAGGAATTGGTTGGAAAGGAATCAATCTCTAGCATAAGACTCTAAATAAAGTTTACATGCACTCTCTGCGATTTAAAATAGTGTTGTTTAACGTTTTTTCATATAGATTAACGATGTCATAAGACTTCAAATTTTTACTAAATTAATCTAAAAGTATTGTAAAGAGTAATAATTAAAGGGTATAATTGAAAAATAACTGATCTGACCTGATCAGAAATGGACCGTCACGGCTGGCTCCGAGCAGAAAGCTTTTTGAAAGAAGTGGGGGGTACCTGCAAGGCACTCCGATGCTGAAGTAAGTAGGAGTACGAGCAGATAATAGCAAGTGTAAGGTTAGAATGATGAATACCTGACCCTATGGAAACAGAGGGTATTTATAGCCCCCAGCGCTGGGCCAAGGTTCCTTCATTGGGCCGGGCAGGTTTGGCCCAATGGAGGAACTGCCAGGTTCTACGTGCGTAATAGGGACCCGCACGTGGTCCCCTTCCTGGATGTTCTGCGTGAAGTGCGGGCGGACGGAGACGCGGTCTTTTCGAGATATCGTTGGGGGAACAATGGACTGAGTCTGCCCTAGCTGGGGTGCCCGAGGTAATGTCGAGCAGGACCTCAGGATGCGGTGCTGGACCGCAGCATGTCGAGCAGGAGGTGTGTTGTCGAGCCTGCGACTACCCCGTCGGGCACGGTCGTGCTATCTGGTCGGCGTGGCCCTTGTAATTCCATTTGTACTGGGCCTTTGCAATGCTTTTGGGCCTGTCGGGCCCAGTCCAGAACAGGAGCCCCCCAAGTCGTGGTTCCTTTGTGAGGAGCCATGGCTTGAACTCAGGTCGTTTCCTCATCGAGGTCTCGTGTCCGGGACAGAGGTGTAGACCCCCGAGGGCCTCCTCGTGCCGTGCTCGGAGACATCTTCCACGGCGGATGCCCGGAGGATCCTCACCGGGGCGTGTCTGTCGAGCATACGAGGTATCTCTCGGGAACTGTGTCGCCACCCTATGGGGATAGGGTCATCATTGCGTTGGGAGCAGCGCGTCGGGGAGAGAGACTCCGTGGTTGCCCGAGGTGACGTTTGGTATTCCACGTCATCACTATAAATAGGAACCTTGGGCCCCATAACACGTTTCTATTCTTCGTGCTCTCTCTGCTGCTGCTCTTCCAGATTTTTCCCAGTCGCGATCTTCTGTCACAGATTCTTCTACTTCGTAGCCGAATCCTACTTTTTGATTCAAGTAAGTGGTTTATCTTCTTCATTTTCCTGTTAAAATGCATGATTTTTGGCGTCTGTAGGTGTTTTAGGGACTGTGCGCGTGAGATTAGCCCGGTCAACTCATGCTTAGCTCGACATATTCATGCTTAGGACCGGCAAACGCATGTTTGTGGCCGGCATATTCATAGTTTTAGGTGACAAACTTCAGCGCTGCCCGGGGTCTTCATGATCCAGGGCGCCTGATTCATGATCGCGCCCGGTATATTCATGGTCTTGGCCGTGGGCCTCATGGTGTGGCTCGCCATGTTCATACCTTGGGTCGACATGTTGGAGAGTGACCGCGTAGTTGGTTTGAGGAAGAACACATCGAGTTTCAGGATGTCGGAGAGGCAACCATTCGTGGAAACGGACTATGTGGTCGTGCATGGGACGACGTGATTTGTCGAGCGTATGGCTTCGTGCCCAATTGACTGGTTTCCCGTGCTCTGCAGGTAACCATGGCGGACGAGCCGAGCTCCTCCGGGCGCCACGATCGTGAAGAACAAAGTGCCGATGAGTCGTTCAGCTTGATTGATACTGTGACCGACCCTTTGCTGGATTGGGTGGGCGTCGAGCCTCGAGGGATCGCGTCGATCTACAGCCGGGGCGACCGAAATCCATATGCTGTCATCGAAGCGGGCCAGGGCCATCCCGACTTCCAAAAGAACTTCGTAGTTATGCGCCCGTCCTCCCGTTCAAGGATCTGCTCGGTTTATCCGGAATATAGCTTCGCGATGTACGAGATCGCGTTCAAAGATCTAGGGCTGCAGCTGCCCTTCACTGATTTCCAGGTCGGGGTTTTCACTCACCTGGAGTTGGCCCCGTCCCAGCTACATCCAAACTTACTCGCCTTCATCCGGGCGTTTGAGCTGACGTGTCGCTATCTGAGGATCGGGGCGACCATACCGCTCTTCTTCCGGATTTTTCATCTGCAGCGCCAGTCTCGAGGCGGGAAACATAGCTGGGTCTCCTTGAAGCAGTCGAGGAGACTCTTCAAAATGTATATGGACTCCGTAAGGGGTTTTAAAGACAAGTGGTACGTTGTGCGGCCAGTTACCACCTCGGCTTTAGGATCCATGTACGAGGAGGAGGAGCCCCTAAGCGATGACGACGGGGAGGCGGTTTTGGGCGACGATGGGAGTCCTGTGATGGCCCGTACGGCTAAGTTCCCTGTGCACTGGATATTCAGGCACTACGAGCATGGGACTGGTTACTACCACACTGCTGCCAGGGACATGTGCTCGGAAGACGAGGAGGCGTACGCCACACTTTGCCGGTTTGTCGATAGCTTCCACCCTGCTCGGTGGGCTACGAGGGAAGGGGACGATATCTTGGACGCAGAGGGTTACCCAACGTTTGAGTCCCGGCCGATTGATACCAAGGCGCTCGTGGAGTGCCAGACGTACAGGCAGGCTGCCCGTCTGCTAGGTCGTTTATTGCTTGAATTTCTTTGCTCGTCATTTATTTATGAGCTTGCTCGATACTAACCCAACTTTTATTTTGTGCAGGTTCGATGGCCGGTCGACATGAAAGGCTTTCGAAATTGTCTTGCGACCAGAAGCGAGGCAGGAGGGTCGTGAAGGCCCCACAGGCGACGAGGATGGGCCCGCCACACAGTCCAAGTGCTCCTCAGCCGGTGAGGGTGGACTCGCCGCCAAGCTCGGGGGCCGCGTCGGATGGGACCCCAGAAGTTGAAGAGGTCGACCCTAGTGCCGTCCTGATGCAGAGGAAGAGGACCCGTGTGGAAAGTGGTCCGACTGTTGGCGAGGACGCCAGTGTCGTTAGGTCTTTCGCGTTCCCCCCTTGCTTCAAAGAGGAGGGCTTCTTCGAGAGATTCCCTCTGACAGTGGTTGCCGACGAGGCTGAAGCTATAAAAAGGATGAGTAAAGAGGATCGGAAGATGTATCTGGCCGCCAGCATGGACGGGCTGGTGAAAATGGCCGAGATGGCCTTGGTGCTATCCGAGGAAGGGGGGATCCTGTTCGTATCGAAGAACTCGAGCAGGAGAAAGCGGCCCTTACCTCGAGCTCGCGGAAATTGAAGACCGCTCTGGAACGCTCCGAGGAGATGTTCCGCGAGCAGACGACGATGCTGGATGCTGAGAGGGAGATGTTGACCCTGGAGAAGGAAAAGTCGGGGAAGTTGGTCGAGGAGGGGGAGCTTCTCCGGGCAGACAGGGATCGTCTGGGGGCCGAAGTCGGACGCTTAGCCCAGCAGATCGAGGAAATGAACGCTGCCATGCAACCTGCCGAGGACGAGCCGGAGGACATAGCGGCTTTGAAGAGTCGATCGGAGCTGGTCGCCCATATCCGGCTCCTCGAGGCAGATTGCGTCGGTGCTCTGGAGGATGGGTTCAACTCCGCATTCGGTCAGCTCTCCTTGCTAAACCCTGGTCTGGTCACTGAGGGTATCGACCACACACATCAGATCGTGGATGGCGTGATCGTTCCTCCGCCCGACTCTCCCGTCGTCGACAATGATGGTTCTGGGGAAACCTGACTAGGATAGCGGGCCTGCGTGCCTTTGACATTTGTATTCTTTGGGCCTGCGTGCCCGTCTGTTGTACGCTATGAACATCGCCGGCCTTCTTGGTCGGTTTATAATTGTTTTGTCGCCTTCGGGCATTTTTATCTGAATGGTGTTTTACATTTCGAATGTTTTGCCCTTGCTTGAAATCTTATATATTTGCATAAAATTTTAGCCTAAGTCATGGGCCCGAGGAGTGCCCGTAAGTGGCTGTGGTTTGGCGAGCGAGTATGCCCGCCTTCCGTTTGTATGCGTGTCCGGCCCTCTTTCGCTGGCCAGAGTCACCTAAGTGTTGTGCTCGAGGGGAGAGACTTCCCTTTGACCCTTTTAGATGGCCCGTCATTCTTGACGACTTGTCGGGCATTTGGAGCGAAGTTGCTCAGTCGGGCGTGAAGCCCGGTAGGGACTATTCGCCCTTGGCGTGAACTGCCCATCGCGAGCTGGGTGTTCTGCCTTATGGGTACAACGACGGTGGTGCTCGGTATAGCTGTCTACGTCGGGCACTATCGATCGTCATCGTTTGCCGTGCGATGCTGTGCGATTTGGCCGTATGTCGGGCTTGTACCTTAGCCTTTATATGAAGTCGGACGTTTTTCCTCGTTGACCGAGCGCGGGTGCCGTTGGTCGAGGGTCCCAGGTGTTGGTAGTTTCTAACTGTAGTACTGCTTTAGCTTAGCAGCGTTCCAGGGTCGTGGCAATGGCTCTCCGTCTAATTGCTCGAGGTAGTACGCCCCAGTACCCGTGGTGCCGTGGACGCGATAAGGTCCTTCCCAGTTCGCGGCCAGCTTCCCTTCGCGGGAATCTTTCTGGTTTCTGCGTAATACCAGACTGCCGATTTCGAACTCGCGCTTGATGACCTTGTCGTTGTGGCGTAGAGCCACTCGTTGTTTTAGGGTGGCTTCGCGCAGGGCTGCACCCGATCGGATTTCCTCGACTAGGTCGAGTTCATCCCTTAGTGCTTCGTCGTTCACTTCTTCGTCGAGGGGGTCTTCCGTTCATCGGGATGGTTCCATGATTTCGACCGGGATGACAGCCTCGGTGCCGTATGTCAGTCGAAATGGTGTCTCACCCGTCGTTGAGTGGGGTGTGGTGCGGTATGCCCACAAGACGCTGTGGAGCTCCTCGACCCATCCTCTTTTGGCTT